AAAAAAAAAAAAACTTCAAACTGCCTTGTTTTATTGTGTAGCCAATTGCGCTGTGAAAATGTCCCCACTGCAAAACATTTACACTGATTTAACCAGATAGATCCTTCCTAAGCCCAAATCCATTTTCTCATCTTGAAGCATTAAGGCTACGTCCACACGAAGCCAGAGCTTTCCCTATCCGATCTTTTTTTCCCCCTCGTCTCAAGAAATATCTGCGTCCACACGAAACCGACACAAAACGATGTAGTATACATGCCAGACCAGTATGTGGCGCTTTAATTCTGCCACAGAGATGCACTAAAACAGAGAAGACTTGGACTATGCGCATAAACCTTGCGCGCGGTATACAAACGAACATGGAACAATACATTTATTAATCTGTGTCAATGTTAGTTAATAAAAAGACAATCATTCAGTGTTTGTTCATGTTTTTGTTGCTGTTACGTGACGTAGCGGTGTCTGACTAGGGGCGAGACGTGGGCTGATGACGTCATCGTTTCAGAAAATATACGGATTCGCTGTCCACACGAAAACGCAAGGGCAGCGTTTTCAGATTTATCCACTCTGGGACCCGGTTTCAAAAAATATCGGTTTCACTATCCCAAAACGCCGGATCCGTGTGGACGAAACACCTATACGATACAAAATGTATGCGTATACAGCTAAACGCGTCTCCGTGTGGACGGGGCCTTAAACACGTTTCAGAAACAGAAAGTAGCTGCTTTGTTTCCGGGGTAACGGCTGCATTTTTGCTGTTTAGCACCATCTGCTGACAGAGAGTGAATGTGTGCTTTCATTCAGAGCGTCTCACGCCATGAGCTTCTCATCCGTGCTTGTTTACATGAGAGCGCATGCGTCTGTGACGCAGCATACAGCGGTGTTGTGCATTGTGACCAGCTGATGGGAAAAGTATTCTTAAAATGCATTCAAAATTCGGAACAATTTGTAATTAATTAATCTCTGTATTCATTTCATTTATTTATATAGCACAAATAAACACAACAGGAGTTGACCACAGTGCTTTACAGAATATAAAACTAAGATACAGATAAAGAAAGAAAGCCTTAGATGTTTCCCTAATCAAACACACCTGATTCAACTCATCAGCAGAGGCTCCTGTCCTGAAACAGGCCGGTCAGATAAGGGTGTCTGGGTCCTCACATTTAAAGCACAAAACCTATATCACATAGCCTAGAACATAAAGGGCTTATTTCCTCCAGTGTGCACTAAAACACACAAATGCTGCACCTCCAGAACTGCTGAGGAGAACATGCAGCTCATGAACACCTCTGAATGCAACAGATATCACACAACTCTAACTCACGCAAGCATTCAGAGCAGAATTAAACAGAACAAGTGAGCTTAAGTTGTCTTCCAGTCTATGCAGAGATCATTTAAACTAATTTGACATTAATACACACACTGACCTTCATAACAAAAAGCCATACCGACCAAACTCAGGTAATCAGAAGGTGATATTCCTTGACATTGTGAATGATTATTTGAGCAAACACACACAAAGGCATGTGGACGGTGACCAACGCACAAAAAAAATAAAAATAAAAAACCGGCTAGTCTGCAAACTATTCGCGGCCTGCGAGGTCAGAGGTCACTGGCGAATCAGCTCAACAAGGGCAGACGCTCATTTAAGTGCAAACTCTGAACTCAAGTAAACGCCAACTAAACTCTATTGTAAGCAAATAAAACTTACAAGAAAAAAAAAACTGTCAGGTGAACAGAAGCATACACATGTACACACAACTAACTTCAGACTAGTGTACGTCGGAAACTGGACAAACCGGATGATTTTACGACGTTATTAACTGAAATAGTTCGCAAACAATTCGCTTTCCACAGAAACAGCGCGCTCACTCGGTAACCTGAAGTGTAGAAATATAATAATGGCACTGTAAACATTATAAACACGAAGTTAACTGCCGGAACATTAATTACTACAAGTTCTTACAAAGTGACACAAGTGTAAAACGCGCTCGGTAAACGCCCAAACAAACACGGCATATCTGAGAACCGCTTAATACAGGAACGAGTGAAATAAAGCGTCTTTCTTACCTTAATTCGGTTTATAAATTAGCGGCGTGTGCTGATGCGCGCGCTCACGCGTTAAGGGGGGCGATGGCGGGAAACGGAGCCTCTAAGTAACCTGGCGCGTGATTGAGCCAATCACGGAGCTGCGTGGCGAGTCTGCCGCTCGCGATCGAACAGTGAGCGGTCGGTAGCACGCGAGGGAGCGGGACCGTTGAGGAGCCGCAGGTGCTGCGGATCAAGGTGTGATGAGCGCGTGCTGCACACTGCGTACTGCTGAGAGTAGCTACTGTGTGACTGCATACTACACCAGTCAGTCTCGCGCCGTTTCTCACGAGGATGCTTCTTCATTCACGTTGTTATCAGGGTAGGACATTAACCGGGCTTGGGGCAAAAATGAACAAAAATGCCCCCCAAATTCAAGATAAGGAAACCAAAAATGCCCTTGAAAAATTAAGCTAGATCTGTTACAGTTACGATTAAAGTGAAATAAATTAAAAAATGTCAGGACTGAGAGATTGCGGCAATTACATTTAAAATAGATTTGCTCACGTTGCATCAGGTTTCTTTTTAGGCCTTGTTTGCAGCGTTTAAGTTTATAACCAATCACACAGATTTCTGTTGAGTTTATGAATGCAGTGACCAATCAGAGGCGGAGAACGCACGGAGTTAACATTCTCTTCTATTCTGAAACTAACTTTCTGTTCTGCTTTGTTTTAAAGTGAATGTTCTGTTCTGTTCTGAAGTTAACATTCATCTCTATTCTGTTAGCGATTAACATTCATCCCTCTTCTATTCTGAAATGAATATTCTATTGTTTTTTTATTCTGTATATGTTCTGTTCTGTTCTGTTCTGTTCTGAAGGTAACTGCTCTGTTATTAAATTAACATTCATCTCTGTTCTTTTCTGATAATAACATTCTCTTCTATTCTGAAACTAACATTTTGTTCTTTACCATTCTGTCCTGTTCTATTTAGAAATGAATGTTCTGTTTTTTAAAGTGAAATCAAACATGTCAGGACTGAGAGATTGCGTCAATTGCATTTAAAATAGATTTGCTCACGTTGCATCAGGTTTCTTTTTAAGGCCTTGTTTGCAGCGTTTAAGTTTATAACCAATCACACAGATTTCTGTTGAGTTTATGAATGCAGTGACCAATCAGAGGCGCTCTGATTCGTGATGCGGAGAACGCACGGAGTTAACATTCTCTTCTATTCTGAAACTAACTTTCTGTTCTGCTTTGTTTTAAAGTGAATGTTCTGTTCTGTTCTGAAGTTAACATTCATCTCTATTCTGTTAGCGATTAACATTCATCCCTCTTCTATTCTGAAATGAATATTCTATTGTTTTTTTATTCTGTATATGTTCTGTTCTGTTCTGTTCTGTTCTGAAGGTAACTGCTCTGTTATTAAATTAACATTCATCTCTGTTCTTTTCTGATAATAACATTCTCTTCTATTCTGAAACTAACATTTTGTTCTTTACCATTCTGTCCTGTTCTATTTAGAAATGAATGTTCTGTTTTATTCCGGAGCTAACATTCTTTTCTGTTCTATTTAAAATATAACAAAATGTTCTGTGCTTCTGATATTAACATTTCTCTCTCTTCTATTCTGAAATAAACATTCTATTCTGTTTTGTTCTGAAGTAATTTTCCTGTTATGCTCTTAAGTTATCATTCTGTTATGTTCTGAATTTAACATTCTGTTCTTAAGTTAACATTCTATTCTGTTCTGAATTTAAAGGGGTCATATGATGTTGCTAAAAAGAACATTATTTTGTGTATTTAATCTTTTATGCATTTAGCAGACGCTTTTATCCAAAGCGACTTAAAGTGCACTCAGGCTATACATTTTTTACCATTATGTGTGTTCCCTGGGAATCGGACCCACAACCTTTTGCGCTGCTAACACAATGCTCTACCACTGAGCCACAGGAACACATTTGGTGTAATAAAATGGGTTTATGCGGTTTAAGTTTCAAAAAACACATTATTTTCCACATACTGTACATTATTGTTTCTCCTCTATGCCCCGCCTTTTTGAAACGCGTCGATTTTTACAAAGCTCATCGGTCTGAAAAGCGAGGTGTGCTGTGATAGCCACTCATCAGCTAATATAACCCAGTAACTTTGACATATGATTAAATATGAGTCACAGTTTAATCTTGATTTTTGCTCGTTTATAAATCAGCTATTAAACAGGCGAAACGTTTAATAACGTGTAAAATTTCCTAAGGCGATAAAATAGCAGTTTTGTGTGCTATTCAGGACTGAAGTGAAAATGCCTTTAAATGACTATTTAACTTGTGAATTTTGCGAATGAGACACAAAATTGTGACCGGAATGTGATTTAACCCTCCAATAACTGCAACACTAAATAATTTTTTTAATTAATACTGGTAATACTAAAATTTTAACTCCTATCAAATTAACAGTGAAATCTTAAAAGTCTGTTAATAACATTACAAGTTTTTTGTACATGTTTAATGCATACCTTTTTGTATTGTAATTTTGTAGGCTCCACAAAATACAGCGATAAAGACAACGGTGGCATGTTGGTTTGGTCTCCATATCACACAATACTTGACTCTAAATGTAAGTGTTTGCAACTTGTTTTTTTTTGGGGCATTTCATTTTTCATTGTGACAACATCATGCATTATTGTGTACGTGTGTGTGTGTGTGTGTGTGTGTTTTCTTTCAGTGGATGAGTACATTGCAATTGCAAAAGAAAAGCATGGCTACAATGTTGAGCAGGTGAGTTACGAGCACACAGTCCTCAAAGCTGTCGTTGTTGTCCATGTTAATTAATGTATGGATGTCCTCTGTGCTCCACAGGCTCTCGGCATGCTCTTCTGGCATAAACACAACATCGAGAAGTCCCTTGCTGATCTGCCAAACTTCACCCCCTTCCCTGATGAGTGGACGGTGGAGGACAAGGTGTTGTTTGAACAAGCGTTCAGCTTTCATGGGAAGAGCTTCCATCGGATCCAGCAGATGGTGAGTCGTCACTGCTAGTGCTACTGAGCTAACAGTGACATGTGTCTAGGTCACATTTAATCCCAGAAAGAGAAATGAGAAATAATACTTTATGGCAATGCATTGTGAAAATTTACCAACAATTTCGCATAACCATAATCGTTACATCCCTATGTAGAAATCACTCTAATATGCTGATGTGCAAAAGATTTTTCTTTCAAATAAATGCTGTGCTTTTGAACATTACTCTTTTGCAGTTTCTCCTTTCTATTCATTGAAGAATCCTAAAAAACTGCATCATGGTTTCCACAAAGGTATTAAGCTACAAAAGCTGTTTTACACAATAAGATATTGCATTATACTGTGCAACACATTAATAACGGAGCACCAATAATAATTTATGACTGAGCAGCAAATCAGCATATTAGAATGATTTCTGAAGGATCATGTGACACTGAAGACTGGAGGAATGATGCTGAAAATTCAGCTTTGATCACAGGAATAAATTACAGTTTTCAAATATTTAACTACGAAACAGTTATTTAAATTGTTATATTTAACAGTATTAACTTACAGTTTTTACTGCGTTTTTGAATAAATGATTGCAGCCCTGATTTCTTTCAAAAGCATTTTATTGCTAGAAAAAAAATTTGCCTTTTTTTTTTATTAATGTGGTTTTATTTTGGTATAAATCTATTTTTGTGAGATGTACCCTGTTGGAGTCACTGATACTTCACAACCATCATTAATTGCAATTTTATATTTTATACCCTACACTCTAATTCTTGAATTTGATAATTGATTGTAGTTGCCGGACAAATCCATATCCAGTCTTGTGAAGTACTACTATTCGTGGAAAAAAACGCGATCCCGGACGAGTCTGATGGACCGACAAGCGCGAAAGCTGGCAAACCGGAGTAATCAAGATGAAAGGTCACTTATCCATTTGACCTTTGAGCTCATTTATGAGTTGATTCAAGTTTTTAGTGTTTCTGGTCTTTTTACTTTTGCTTTTGACATAATAGTGAGGAAGAGATGGAAGAAGCCAACCCCATTGAGGCCAACGACAGTGACTATGACCCTACAAAAGAGGCGAAGAAGGAGGTAATGTGATTTTGTAATAAATACATATCTCAAATATTCAGAAGTATGTTAAAGGAGACAAATGCTCCTTTTTGCAATATGTAATAAAAGTCTCTGGTGTCCCCAGAATGTGTCTGTGAAGTTTCAGCTCAGAATACTCCACAGATCATTTATTATATCATTTTGAAAATGCCTATTTTGAGTGGAAGCAGAAACACGCGTTTTTTCCAACTTTCACCATGGCATTAGAGCTGCTACACCGTTGTCGCTTGCTAAAACACAATGACGGCGCTGTGGGTGTTTTACATTTACAGATTAAGGGGCGGTAATATTATAATGAGATCCCTTTGCCACGTCACCAAAGGAGCGAAATCAGACGCGCTCGTTTTCTTAGGCTTTCAGAAAAAGGCTTCCCAAAACAAAGTTACTGGGTTAATCTTTTTCACGTTTCCTTGGTTGGTAGATGCACCGGGGACTTGATTATAGCACTTAAAACCTGGAAAAGTCAGATTTTCATGATATGTCACCTTTAAAGGTGTCTATTGATTCTTTTTTCAGCGTCTCGATGCAGTGATTTGTTTTTCCCCTGACAGAGTCATGCAGAGCCTCAGATGCTGAGCTCCAAAATTGCACTGGGACGGAGAGAGCACCAGACCCTGCAGCACCGTCACCACAGCCAGCGGTCCAAGTGCCGCCCTCCCAAAGGCATGTACCTCACACAGGAGGACGTGGTGGCCGTCTCCTGCAGCTCCAGCGCCGCAAGCTCTGTCCTGCGGCAGCTCGACATGGAGCTGGTGTCCCTGAAACGACAGGTACGGCCAGGAATCTCCAAGAGGTTAAAAAATACAAATCTTGGGGATAATAAATTATCCTTTTGGAATTAATGTCAGTCTAAGCCTTTGAAGATAATTTTTTAATGTTCTTAATTAGGGATGCTCATTTTAACCGGTTTACTGTTAACCGCATAACATCACGGCGGGACGGTGATAATGTTTAAAGGCACAGATTATTTAAATTGAGCAATGTGTTGTTTTCCATATGTTTGACTGACTGTATTTTATTATGATAATGAACAGGCTGCATTGTCAAGTAAGCAATGCTTAACTGTGTGAGAGCGTGCGGCGCCGGCGCAATCTCTTGAATTTTTTCTTTCTAACAGTGGAAGCAACTACTCCTAGCCATACAGATAATCGAAACTGTAAAAGGTTTGCTTTTATCTGTGTGCATTACCAATAAAAACAAATCTTTGTGCTTTTGTAAAATAAGGAAAAATAGGATGCCGCTTTCTGCCGTCTTGGTTTCCTTTCGTGCAGCACAAAAATAAACCGAAACTGTGCATACTAGCCTGCTGTGTGTTTTTTTTTCTTTCATTTTGTATATTTATTAAGTAAAAATATCTTGTGTAGGCCTATTTATTCATTATATATAGCCTAGGTTTATTATGTTTTTTTCTGCTGGCAGAAGCGCTGCAGGTGCGTGATGTGGTGTGACTAAGGCCCAATCCCAATTCTTCCCCTTAGCCCTTCCCCTACCCCTCCGTTTCGCACGTTCACGTGAAGGGGTAGGGGTGTCTCGATTCTCTTTTGGTTGGAGGGGTAGGGGTAGGGGAAGGGTTAGAAAGCCCTTCAAACAAAGTTTTTTCGGGACCACACTTCAAACGAAGGGGTATGAATTATCTCAGCGTAAACCGGCTTCAGCGGCAACATGGCTGCCGGAGCGAACAAAAAGACACATAAATGTAAGCATTTTTGGCATTAATAAAGATTTTAACGAAAAGTAATCATTTGTTTTATGTTACATTCAATCGTGAGCTCATATTTACAGTCATGTTGCTCAAAGAAATGCTCTGTTTCAAGGGACACGGGGAAGGGGTATAAAATAGAATTGGGATTGGGCCTAATCATGTTCTGTTGTTTGCTGCTTTTTGCGCATGTAAGATTAATCCCTGAAAAACAAATTTTGGTATGTTTAACGGGTCATAGACACTTATCCTGTCTAATTTAATTCAATTCTGAATTAAAATAATCTTAACGGTTAGTAATCGGTTAACAAGCGCCAGTTGTCGGTTAGGAGAAATAACCGAAATGAGCATCCCTATTCTTAACGTTCTTTCTTCCTCACAAGTTTACCTGGTTTTCTAGGTTCAGAATGCCAAGCAGTTAAACAGCGGACTTAAACAGAAGATTGAAGATGGAATTGATGAACTCAGACTGCCTGAGGTGACTCATTTCTGCTTGCACTTGTTCTCATATGCGCTTTAATCTGAATTGTTTGCATATCGTCATTTTGCTAAATGTCATGTTTTGTTCCAGTGCACCCAAAAAATTAATGCCCGCTGGACAACAGATGAGCAGCTTTTGGCAGTACAAGGTAAGTAAATGGTTAATGGCATCAGCTTTGTACCTGTTATTATACCAAATTTCACTCACAACATCTTTTGCCTCATTTAACTAGGGGTACGAAAATATGGGAAGGACTTCCAGGCTATTGCTGATGTGATTGGGAATAAAACGGTGGGGCAGGTGAAGAATTTCTTTGTGAACTATCGGCGTCGCTTTAACTTGGACGAGGTGCTTCAGGAATGGGAGGCGGAGCAGGGAACGCACACTCCCAACGGAGACGGTGCCAGCTCTGGTGAGGATGGAAAGAACAGCAACATCTCCTCAGGAAAGAGCACAGATGAAGAAGAGGAAGAGGTAAGGGTTAAAACTGTGAAGCCTCTCATATAAATCCGTCTCTGTAGTTTAATTTTATACTGTGAAACAGCGACCGGGGCCAGTGCTGCCACCTTGTGGAACAACTGTTTAGTGCAAAACTATTTCAATGTGCGTGTGCGACCTTGCGCGTACAAAGTACTCGGGTTACAAAAATCGGGTGGTGCGTGTGCAGTACATGCGTACTTTCCTGATGACGAAATTCGCATCACGTGCACTGTACGCATTCGCTAGTGTAACAACTGAAGTCAACTTTGGGCTAGTGTTGTCAAATACCAGTTGATGATGAAATTTTAAAAAAAGTCATACATACAATGATAAAAATATCAGTTGTCACTCTAGATCTCCCAATAATGCCTTAGTAAGATTATACTTAATGCTTAGTTTTATGATCGAAGCTGTGTAGTTTTTATTGTGGGGGACAAAACATATAATGCAATGCAATACAATGACGATGAGACATGTACAAATGGATGTTTCTCAAAAGCCTGTTGTATCATATTTAATGCCTTTCAACATGATTTCTCTGGAAAAATGTATGGATAATCAAGTAAACCTAAGTGGCTTCAGTCCAGCGAGTTCATCTTGAATAGTATTAATGTAAAAGCTTTTCTTTTGTGCTTACCTAATGTGAAATGTTTAATGAAGACACGTGGACAATATCCTAAGTGTGGACGTTTTTGCAGTTATACTAACTATTTTGTAAAAAAGTATAAGGTCTTTTAGTACATGGTGAAAGTACGGTATTTCCTAAAAAACTATCAGTCGAGTCACCTTAATCTGTATTGTTTAAAAGCGCTATATAAATAGTGTCAAAGCAGCTTTACAGTATCAAATAGGAAAATAGTGTGTCAATAATGCATCGTCCATCTCAGTTCAGTTTAAATAGTATCTGTGCAATCGACGATATCGCTGGAAATGAAGTGTCCCCAACTAAGCAAGCCAGAGGAACCAAAACTCCATCGGTGACAGAATGGAGAAAAAACCTTCAGTCAGAGAATCTCTTCCCTTCCACCACAGTTGTTTGGCTAAACTCTTCTTTAAACGCCTAGCTTTGCCTCTCATAAAATAGTAAAAAGTTGTCTTCACCTTTCTTTCTTAATCAGGGTCAGGTGACCCCAGCCTCGGGTCCGTCTCCTGTAGCCACATCAGCGTCTCTAACAGCAGCCAGCAGCTCCAGCTCTCTCAACCAGCCTCCACCTCTTCTGCGCCCATCTCTTCCTGCCACTCCAGCGCTACACCGCCAGCCTCCGCCTCTGCAGCAGCAAGCCCGCTTCCTTCAGCCCCGTCCTGCCCTGAACCAGCCTCCGCCGCTCATCCGGCCCTCCAACCCCCTCCCTCCTCGCCTCAACCCCCGCCCCACAGCCCCTGCTCCCTGCATGGCTTCAGCCGCGCCGGGCCAGCAGCCGCCCTCTCTGGTGGGCATCCAGTCCGATGCCCCCTCCTCTCTACACTGATGTGTTTCATATTTGTGACATTGCTGATGAAGGTAATTAGTTAGCACTTGTGAATACTAGGAAAAGAATGATCGTTTTAAACTGTGTATATATTAGTTACGTAACTTTATATTTATTTGAACTGATTTTTTATTTTATTTTTTATTTTGTAATCATGTTGTAACATTGTACTTTAAAGCGATTGATTGTTCACCCAGAAATGAAAATCACCCCATGATTTACTCACCCTCAAGCCATCCTAGGTGTATATGACTGTCTTCTTTCAGATGAGTACAATCGGAGTTATATTTAAAGAATGTCCTGGCTCTTCCAGGTTTTATAATGGCAGTTGAATGGCTGTTGAGATTTTGAAACCCAATAAAGTGCATCCATCCATCATAAAAAGAGCTTCACGCGGCTCCGTCAGGTTAATAAAGGTCTTCTGAAGCGAATCGATGCATTTGTGTAAGAAAAAAAACAACAACCAAGTTTTGTTTACAGGAAAGGAAAACTCCTCTTGGTTTATCTCGAAATCCTCTTGACATTTTTCTTTACGAAACCTCGTTTTGTGCTTGTAATTCATGACTGGTGTTTTGTTTTGCTCTCTCCTCTGCGCTTCCGCGTTCGTCACTTCTCTCTCGTGAACGTGCGTACGACAGTTAAGGTTACGGTTTATGAAGTTTTAAATATTTTTTTCTTACACAAATGCATCGATTCGCTTCAGAAGACCTTTATTAACCTGACGGAGCCGCGTGAAGCTATTTTTATGATGGATGGATGCACTTTATTGGGCTTCAAAATCTCGACACCCATTCACTGCCATTATAAAACTTGGAAGAAGCAGGACATTTTTTTTATATAACTCTTATTGTATTCGTCTAGGATGCCCTGAGGGTGATTACATCACCGGGTAATTTTCATTCTCGGGTGAACTATCGCTTTAAGTCTTTAAAATATTGTGTTCTATCTCAGCACTTTTTCTTGTTGTTCCTTAGTATCTATGATGTAACGGCAGACCTCTTTAAAAGGGTTTTGCTTGTTATTTTGTTGTTCATCTGTGTCTGTGGTTGATTACTGTGTTGTGTCGTTTTATGTGTTTCATATTTTAATATTTGGTGCTACAGACTGGCAGAAAATCACCTGTCCAAATTCTCTTGCCATCAAAGTGCTCTTAACAAGAAAATATAATCTCATACTTAATTGCTAATGAAAATCATAGAAAATTCCTACTGTCATACCCTTTTTTTGGGGGGGGTCATGGATACCGAAAAACAACTTCAGTCCCTTTTGAGTATAAAACACTTATTTTCAACCTCATCTGTTAATTAGAATTTAACCGGGTTTGTTTATAAACCTGTTTGACTTGCAGAAAAGTGTAAACACTTTCCAACCAGACATTAAGCTGTTGACCTGAGCAGTTTCATTAGGTGTGCTGTTTAATCAGAATATGCATGTAGCGTTACTCTTCTTCAGTTAATCAGATCATGCTTACAATGCACATCGTTTTCCAATTTAGGTCTATGTTCTGGTTAAACCTTTATTCTGAAAGATGTTTACATAATCCACAGCTCTGAATATTACTGTATACATGAGATGAGCATTATCGGAATAAACTAATGTACATTCTTTCCCCTTTATTCTCTTCTGGAAATAATGGTGAATGCCTTGCCCTTTGTTTTAGTAATTTAAGCAACTAATTTTTCATTGATGTTATTAATATTACTCAAGAACGTAAATTTATATCATGAGATGACATTTCTTCTTTGTAGAACATTAATTTAATTAAATTAAAGTAGTTTTGCTCCAAGATTTTTTTTATTTTATTTTCATGAATCGATTGACTTCTCACAGCTGTATAATCCAGAATTACTTTTGTTTGGATGTGCAGATATTAAGTTACAGTGTTTTTAAGGTCTTTGCAAGGCCTACACGGTCTCATTCGTATCTTTAGAAACTGAAATGTTAGTCTGGTTATGGTAGTCTGCTCGACAATTACATAACCAGAATATGACCGATCATATATTTGATTAATGCTGGAATATTCCTGTGCATGCAGACAGTCACTGTGTAAACACCTTTCACTTGTGTACAAACTTAACCATGATTTATCTAGTTTTCTTGCTAGTTCCTTTGAAGTCTTAACTAGAGTTTTATGTGTGTGTGCTCCTTGCACTTACAAAATAATTTTAATGCTTATTTCAGCAGAAAAAAAGTGCTGTTTCTACTGTATGCAGATTGGCTGCGTATTGAAAAGTGCTGAATGTCTCAAACAATACACAACAATTTTTGACGATATTAAGTTATTTTTTATGCAAGCTACTTGCATTTTTTTAAAGAACAGGTTGTAGGCAGCTCAGAGTGTGGTGGCATTACATGTAAAATAATGAAAAGTCTCTTCTCCAAATTTGTGCCTAAAGCATGTTCATATGTGAAGTGTCATATGGAAACATTAAAACACGTTTGAACACAGACTCTAATTTCATTTTCATTTCATTTAGCATTTCTACACACTGGAGTGTTTGTTCCTATTTTAGTTGCAAGATGCATTCAAGTGTATCTCAATATTTAAAGTAGTTTCTCTTACTCGTTTACAGAAACTTCCTGCAGTGCACTTTCCGTTCAAGAAATTACTAAACCTACTGTAGCCAAGGCTTCCTTTATGAATATTCATTAGCTCGTTGCGTTGTAACTGTTCTGTGACGTTCCCTCATTAATATTCATGAGCCAAGGCCTTCGCCATAGTAGGATTGGTCATTCCGAGACGCATCGCTGTCAAATATTATATATCAGGATTCACTTGCATCCACTGAACCTCACATTACTCAAAATGAGCTATTAACACCATCAGCCCTCAGGTAAGTAAACCCCTGCATTTTGAAATAAATACTGCGATTTATATAGCTGATAGTGTAAAGCGAAAGTAAATGTTTTCAATGTGGACTAGATGGTTAAGTGAGCTGCTGGCTGTGTTTATAAAGGGGTGTAATAGTAAGCTGCTTGAGTTGAGTTTAGATACACAGTGCCATGTTGTTGCACTGGGGATTCCCCATACGCTTGCAATCTCTCTCACAGGAACAGCCAGCAGTGTGCTTTAAAAACTGCATCAGTAACAAAAGTAGATTAAAAAACTGCATCAGTAACAAAAGTAGATTAATGCGTCGATTCTGTTACTATAATTTGGTCATCATCGTTTTTTAACTATGCGGTGATAAATTAAAGTCCCCTTTATTATCACATTATTCTATTTTGCTGTGTATGAGGGTAAGGAAGATGTTAAATGTCAACTGTACTAACATTTAATCACGGAATGGATATTTATTCACATTTCTACACCTTGTAGGGCTTTGTAGTTTTACCAAACTGAAAGTCAAATTGAACTGTATCTGTCAGCCTTGTAACCAGTGTTGGGAGTAACGCATTACAAAAGTAATAATATTACAGTAGTATATTACTTTTTGCTGTAACGCAGTAATATAACGCATTAACCCCTCATAACTATGTTCCAAGTTAACATACAGGTTATTGAAGTGAATTCATTTTAGATCGCATAGAGCATTTATTAACTGAACATAGGATTTATTTGATCTAAAAGTAAAAGGAAGTCTTCCTATAAAAAAAAGGTTTACCTGACTTTTGGAAATAATGCCCAGATGCTTCAACCTTGTAATTATTTTAAATTATTTTTATAATTGTATTGCTTGCATAATGGTTACTTGCTTAATTGCTTACAAGAAAATGAACAGGATGGAAATACAAATATTTTTATACTTTTTTTTTGTTTGTTTGTAATTTTATCAGACGGTGAAATGGTTGATAATGACAAAACCACAAAAAAAAAAAGGATACAAAAAAAATGTAAGATTATAAAAATCATCAAAAATGACTGCTGTAGGAGCTCAATAGGAAAAGGAACTGGCTTTAGTTCATGTGATGTTATAAAAGACTACCAGGATGGAGCTTAATATTGAGAACAAGGAAGGAGACGCTAAATTGATTACCAATTAAAACAATTTTCCTGAGAAAACATGTTTGGTTTGAAACATTTTGAATAAGGAAACAATGAAGAAACACTTGGAATGAATTTTTTTTTCAATTCATTTCAGACGTTTTATAAAAGCTGCCATTCAAACTATTCAAAATTCACTCCATCTTAATTTAATTTAAACTTTTAAATGAACAATTATTATAATATAATATTAATTTAATATTATATTAAATATTACTATAAGCATAATTTTTGAATAAAACTGAAACTGTGTTTGTGTATTTTGTTAACTTTCTGATACTCAGTTAGTTGTATTATAACTTAATACAATATTTGAAATTGTGAATGCAAGTAAATATGCATTAAAATATGTGACCAAGGACCACAAAACCAGTCAAAAAATGTATGCGTCATCTGAAAGCTGAATAAATAAGCTTTCCATTGATGTATGGTTTGTTAGGATAGGACAATATTTGTCTGAGATACAACTATTTGAAAATCTGGAATCTGAGGGTGCAAAAAAATCTAAATATTGAGAAAATCATCTTTAAAGTTGTCCAAATATCAAATATTAAGTTTTGATATATTTACGGTAGGAAATTTACAAATTATCTTCATGGAACATGATCTTTACTTAATATCCTAATGATTTTTGGCATAAAAGAAAAATCTATAATTTTGACCCATACAGTGTATTGTTGGCTATTGCTACTTATGACTGCTTTTGTGCTCCAGGGTCACATATGTTGAACTTGGAGCACAGCACAACAAGAATTATATAAATGCTTAATAGTTCTTTGTAATATTTGTTCCAGGTGTTATTAGAGGATTTGGATAAGTAGATCAACTTCAGTGATGCTAAAAACAAAAGAGGAGCATGAAACAGAATTGCATTTGTCAATGCAGTTTACATATCTGTCGCTGTGTCACTGTGATTTCAGCAGGTTTCCATGGCCGCAGAGGAGAACGAGTGCGTGTCCCGGCAGGACTCTGAGCTCATGAGGGCATGGGAGCTGGAAGCCATTCTGACCAATCGCACGCTGCGCTTCGTGTTGCGCTTAGAGCAGCAGTTCGTTTGCCCGTCCTGCGGCGGGATCGTCCTGAACCCTCACCAGACGGGCTGCGGGCACATCTTCTGCGCTCGGTGCGTGAGGGCTTACCTGTAAGAAAAACTCATTCGCCGAAGTTGTTGCATATCAGCAAAGATAAACAGTGCATAACATGCATCTAAAATGATTTGGCACTGTGTAAACCTTCCTCTTTTCAGTGAAAACG